CCTGGACATCACTTCTACAGCTCAGGGTTTAGGGTTTAGGGTCTAGGATTGTAGTCCCCTCAAGTAGGTAGAAATAGGTAGAATATGAGGTATGGGGGGATCTTATTCAAACATACCCAAAGCCATATTCTATCTACTTAAGGGGGACTATAACCCTAACCCTTGAACCCTAGATAGTAGTTTCCATTTTCTTTTTTGCTCAGGCCATGCCAGCGAGTCTGCGCACTTGATGTCGTCCCATGAATTGCAGGATCTCTCATGGCTTATGCCACTTGATATTCTATTTATAGTGCGGGTCGGGGCTTTGGGCGGTGTGGTCTTGGCTCCAAAAGTTGGGAAGGCATTATTTAGATCACCTCAGGCCAGTGTGAAAAAGGCATTCCCCTTCTTCGGCCCTGGTTGGGAATCCTGTGAGAACTGCTGAATCGAATACCTCATCTCTAGAAGACTTGCAAGACCTCGTCGCTCAGTGATTGAGAAGAAAGTTGAGGCCGTCAGACTCGATTGTAGACTTCTGTGTCAGGGGTACGGGAGTATAGTCCCCTTAAGTAGACAGAACATGGAGTGTATAGGGATCCTTTTTCTGATACTACCCAAAGCCATTTTCTATAAGGGGGACTGTAATTCAAGAAATCCAAAGGTGACCCGATAAGACGCAAGTAGCGGCAGGCGCCTCGATTCCCTCGGTCATAACTTTGGAGGCCTCGTTCCCAGACCTTCGTGGCCAAGGCAGCAAAGCTTCCTTTTTTTTTTTACTCGGTCTTTTACGTCTGCACGACGACAGACCATCCGCCGGAAGCTTTAGGGTCGAAGGTGTTGGGTGTTAGGCTTCTCCCGGAAGGAGACTTTCAAAGCAGCCTTCAAACCGGCACGTGCCCCCAAACCCCCCAACCCCTACAAGCCCAGAATGAACCCACAACCTATTCCCTTCATATAGCCCCTGTAATCCCTATATATTATAACCCATTATAGTAGTTGCCATTCTATCTTTCCATTATCCCACTATGGCTGGCTGAGGCGCAAGGTTGAGTTCACCTCGGGAAGGATCACGCTGCTGTGCACAGGCATCTCCTCAAGTCGCTGCTTGGGGACCCAAAAATCAGCGAGTCCAAGAATGTCGGATAAAAGCAGGCTAAGGTATGAGGGTCAGGGGTGAGAGACTAGACGCTGGAGCCCTGCACGTTGGAGCCCCGCAACTCTTGCAGACCCGGCAGCCAAGTTGCGTCCCTCTTCTTGTAGCCCTCTAGTGTAAATGTCGCTGCTGTCACTTGACATCCGAGAACAAGATGGGAATTGAAATTGGACAGGAACGTTCGCGCCAAGTGTCCATCACCCTGAAGATGTTGTTGTCTTGGCTTGCCTCCCAATGGTGCTTTAAAGATCGTTCATGTCATCGGGATTCGTGCTAGGTTAGGCTTGTCTGGAGCTTAAGCAGGTTCCTCTCAAGACCAGGCCAGGGTCCCGTATTGTCTACCACCTACAAAGATGGAAGTCCTTCTTATACATAGTAATTATACGAACAAGAACATTTTTTCTTACTACTACTTGCACTAGTAGTAATGATAAACAACCTATGACATTCAGAAAAGTGTTGAAGTACTAGTAACTAATACCTAAGCCTTTCGTGCCTCCCATCGGCCGGCCCTCTGTACAGCGCCGCCAGTCAGCGAAGACTTTGCAAGATTGTCTTCGAATGTCATGTCGGGCGGGTAGATGACCTGCAAAATGGTGACAAAAGCGCGCAGGTTTGGGAGAATGCAACTTTTCAGCTTTTGTACTTCTGCTGCCTTCGCAACCTACGCCCTTTGATCAAGATAGTCATTCAAATTATCTCAAGTTCCAAAATCAAGGCCAATCGTACATCGCCTCGTCCGTGTGCGTGTCGACATGGCTCTCGTGCAGTTCATCGGCCAACCTCGTCGTAACCCCACGCGGAAAAGAAACTCCAGTATTTCATAGCATATTATAATATATTCTAGTTCATGATAGTTCATTGTAGTTCATTTTGGTATATTACAATTATACCATCCCCACAGATCAACTGCAGCCTGGCAGCTCCATCTTGGCCAGCCACTTACAGTTTCGCACACCGGCGTAGCCAGGCACAAGGACGCGAACGGGGTAACCATGGTCAGGAGGCAGGGACTCACCGTTCATGGTTGTTGCAAGCAGCACATCCCCAAAGGGATCAATGGCCTTCTCGAGCGGAATTGTCACCCCAAAGCTGGAGCCCGTCTCATCTGCATCATGACCTGTGAGACGCAGGTACTTAGCCGGCAGAGGCTTGGTGCCCAGGGCAATAGCATCCACATCAACCCCAGACATCCGGAGGATATCGCGGCATCTGACGCCAGTCCAAACTGCATGGCTGCCCCAGAAGTTGTTGTTAATCTCGTTCCTGGGGAACGCCTCCTTCTCCCAAGTCTCTCTATTGTCTGTGCGATGCAGGTATCGTGGATACAGCGCAGCCCCACCACAAATCATAGTAGCCTCAACAGTGTGCTGCTGCATTGCCCTGAGGTCCTTGAGCTTAAAGATCCTACCATCTGCGCCAGGCACACTGACCTCAAACTCATATTCCTCCTCAACATCATCCCAACTGGGCACAGGGAAGTGATTCCTCACGTAAAACCCAGGCAGTGGAGTTCTGAAAGACTCCAGCAGGTACTTACCCATGAGGTTGGCCCAGCGCGGTGCCGTCGCGATGGTCTGCTGGAGCTTCCTTTGGGGCTCGCTCTCGTAGGGGTTAGCGAAGATCGTCTCTTCATAGGAACGCTTGGCATCTGCAGGCGTTAGACGACCCACCAGGCAGGTCCGGTCAAGGAACTTACTGACATCTGGATGGACGTGATAGACGTCGAAATACTTCTGGAGGTCACTGCCAGCTGCCATCTGAATCCTCCCCGGGCCACCGGGATGGATCTTGGCAAAGTTGGTGATATCATACACATGGCCATGGTAGGATATCCACAGGCCTTCCTCCATATTGTTGTGGCTGCGGAGCTCCTTGAGGCTGATGACCCGCAGCTCACGATCCTTCGGCACCTCTTGGTTGGTGGCAACAGGTGCACCTAGAGTTTGCCTGTATCCTACGTCACAGGCGCTGGCGGCAGAACCGCCGGCAACCAAAAGACCCGCTCCTGCTGCATAGGCCCAGCTGTTTGACTCCTGTCCCCTTCGAGGATAGCATGGCGCCAGACGAGCGCGATGGAGCATGGGCGCCATGCGGGCGAGGGAGCGCATTGTGGGGGGCGAGAGGTTTGGTACAAGAACTCCTGCCTGCCAACAGTTTTGTGGATCGAGCCCACAGTCTCACAGAGACAGCTCGACTGCTTCTCATTTCAGCAGAGGCCTGGGAGAGGCAAAGCTGAGGCCCATGCGACCAGAAAGTAAGAGAACGGCATACCGATCATGGCTGTCGCATAGTTAACGAACCTTGCACGAACGGCACCCGCGGTTTCCTCTAGCTGACTTCCTGGCAGTTGGACTGGTTCGAAGAGCTTGAACTCCAAGACTGCAAGACCCAAAACCCTTTGGCCGTAGCCTGCAGGAAATCCTGAAGCCCAAAAGGCCTAAAAACGCAGCCCAGCAAATCCTCTGAAACCTTTGCATGCAAGCCCTTCTCTGCAGGGAAGGGACCAGTTGGGAAAGAGCGGAGAGACGCGCAGGAAGAGCATATACCGAAACCTGGGCAGGTCTGGACAGAGGCTCTCTGGTGGCAAGGGTGCAGATACGCATCCATCAAGCGAATCAAGAAGGCTTGGCCCCAGGCATGGAGCCCTGGAACTTGTCCATCTCCTGATAGATACCGGGATGTGCTACAGCTAGCAGCACTTCTTCGTTTCTATGCTCCCTACTTGCAGACCACCATCACCACCATTACCACCACCTACACCTGCTACTCCAATGGACGTCCGTCTGCATGAGAATTGCTCTTTTGCGACACATGGCTCCTTCTTCAAGGTCGCCATCTTCTCTGCGGCAAACTGGCAAGTTTGGAGGTCGCAGGCTACAAAACTTGACTGCAGGAGGGAGCTTGATGCTGGAAATGTTAGGCCATCTCATAGAATTTCGTGCGGGGAGTCCAATAATTCCCGCTACTAAAAGTGTCCTATGTTGGGTCGGCGCATGTGTTCTGCTGGGCATGGGGTAGTGTTATAGTAGGAACAGCTCCGCTAAGATCACCTGGCTATACCTTGAAATGTTTCCCACTTCCACAAACTCTACGAAGACAAAGAAGCTCGTCTTGAAGGCCACGTTTCAGTGATTTGTTTATCAAGTGTAGACCAATCTTGCATCATGGCCACAGATATGTCCTGAAACACTGCCGGACACAGACCTTCTTGCATCATGGCCACAGAATGCCACAGACATATCTTGAAACACTACTGGACACAGAACAGCACTAAGACCATGCCTATAGCAAAAAATATTGTGCAGACCAGATCAGGCGCAAACTGACTTGGTCAGGTTGAAGCAGGCCCGGCACACGTGCAAGAGGATCTCCCGCCCAATGCAGTACGACCTCAAAAGCCATTGAGCTAAGCTCATTGTGTGCATATACTGAAAATTTCTGAAACATGCAACCTGTCGGTGCACAGGCTGAAAAACATCCTTACTGGTGCAACGGCACACCACTCATAATGTCGCCTTCAGAGAACTAGCCGGATGCTGACCAGGCTACATTATCCAGCCACCAGCGCCTCCGCAAACCTGGCTATATGCTTAGGTCTGGGGACTTCAGGACTTTGGACCCTGAAGCTTCAGGGGTGCTTCGGCATGAATGCAGCTTCGGAGAACAGCTCTGGAACTAAAGTAACACCCCATGAGCTAGTTAAGCCGCAGCAAACTTTGCGAGCAGCCACTTGCAATTCCCTGAGGGCGAGTTCTGGCATTCGATTTGCGTGCGTGTTGATGCTCAGTCCTAAGCACAAAGAGGATCAGTGTGAATGCTAGGCCCGGGGGCCACCATCAAAAATGTATCCCGCCAAATACCTGCAAACTCAGGTCCTTACTCTAAATCGCCATCCTTGTGCAACGTGCTGCCAAATACCTGCTAAAAATCCGTTCTACTCCTGCTGTGTATCTTCAAACATGTTCACAGTTTCTCTTCGCGTGCGCAGCATCGCCTAGCTTCAAAGCTTCGCAACAAGATTTATGATCCTTCTTGCCCTTTGCTCATTCAGAACTAAGCTGCTTTTGGGGCAATGCCAAGGTGCGCAAACAATCTCTGCCGACCAACTACGATTACACACAAGATGCATCCTCCACCAGAAACATGAAACCTTACATACATCCTTAACCCTTAACCTCGAAAGCCTAAACTCTAAAACACTCTGGCTCTAAAAAGCCCTTCAGATGCTAAGGCCTCACCACTCACACCTAGAAGGTGCGCCAGGAAGGAATAATGCCTCCAGTGGAACATTGACTCTTGACAGGGCTTCCTGAGTTGAGCTTGCTGTTTCGGGGGAGAAACATGTACCAAGAAGCTTCTTTTCGAAGTAAGCCTAGGATCGTTGAGCACTGTCACGCACTCTGTACAAATCTAGGTAAAAGTCTACGCAACTGATGATGCTTCGCCTCTTGGTCGAAGCTTCACCGTTACAAATCATCTGGCTCCTCCCCTCGCAGGAAGTGAGCCCACCCCCTCCATTCCCCAGTGAAAGAGAAAAACTCATCTGGGCGGGTAGGGATGTAAGCACAAAGGCCCTCGCCCTGTTGGACCCAGTCTTCCCAATCAGCTTGTGATGACCAGCTCCCATTGGCTTGAGCCCACTTGCAACATTCTTCAAAAGGTAAATACTTACGGCTCTGGCAGCGCACTTGTCTGTCAAGCCGCCTGCTGTGCAAAATTGCATAATCCGAATTGCTCAGCTTGCACACATTGGGACCCTCTGCGGCCCTCAACTGCAACACCTTCCGGGAAGGATCGGGACAAGCGTTGAGTGTCACTCCTGCCACAGGCGGTCTCGCTAAAGTCCGGGACCTGGAGCCTCAGTAGGCATAGTCTTTGACGTACATCCCTTCTGCTGCCGTCGCATCCTCGTCCGCTGTGGCAGGGTCGTAGAGACCCTTCTGCGCCTTGGAGTTCGCCATGGCACGGATCAGCAGCTTTGCCTGCGCTGCCACCACGTTCTCGTCCTTCCCTGCATAGGTTTTGAGGGTGGTGTTCTGCAGCGCGCGAGCGTAGGAGAAGGAGATGTGCCAGGGATTGGGTTGCAAATTCATGGCATTCAGATTCATGGTCGCTTCGATCTCGGACTGGCCACCAGACAGGAACATGATGCCAGGCACTGCTGGAGGCACCACACGCTTCAGGGACCGCAGAGTGTGTGATGCAACGGTGGCAGGGTCGGCAC